TTTTTTTTTTTTTTGCACTATTACATCTACTAGTAGTGTAAAAATCAACTATTAACCTTTTAAACTTTAACGGACTCTATGATTTTCTATAAAAATCAATCCATTCCAATGATAAAGAAAACAAAAAATAAGACGAAATGAAAATGTGTCTCTTCTACAATAAACATGTACTAATTGTAATGAGAGTCAAACCTTAACAAAAAGAATTACAAGGAAAAAATAAAAAAAGAATAATATTCAATCTCGAATTATGCTTCTTGTACATTCTACCTTGACATTAAAGTTGACATCTTGCTTATATGTGTCGAAAATCTAGTCATTGATTCGAAGGAGTGCTGTTGAAATNTTTAAATTAATGTACAAAATTTTTTTAACTCACATGATATCAAACTTGATGTACCTGTAGCATGATTGTTCAATCTCTTGATTGAAACTCAATGGCTTGTATTCTTGCCAGTACTTGACTAATTGCTGCTCTGTGAACAGGTGTTACGTACGCTCGAGAGCTATTTCTATGAGCTTCAACATGCCATCATACCCTTTCTTTTCTGCAACTATTTCGACATCCAATATATCAGTCGACCAATCATTGTTTACAGCTGATTGAACCCAATCCGAAAGATCATCAGCACTAGCATCGACTTGAGCCGGCACCTTGCCCGTTATGATCTCTAAAAGAACAACTCCAAAATAGTATAAATCGGCTTTTTTTGTTAGTTTCTTCCCTTGAGCGAATTCCGGGGTTTTTCCTACAGCCATTTGCTCCAAGGATAGCACAAGGGGGGGGAGAATCCGTAATCTGTGATCTTAACATGGTAACTCTGGTTTTCGTGTTGAATAAGCATGTTGGAGGACTTGAGGTTTCCCTGAGGCACTATCTTGTGAGAAGGAAATTCACTCCTTTCGCAATTTCTTTGATTATGGAACGCCTTGCATTCCAATCCAGTAATCATCGTTCTTCCATATCCTCTATTCTCTGTCATCCAAATTTTTTCGGCAAGTCATGAATTTTGTGAAAATGTCAATCCATGGCCTAGGAGAGAATACCAAGTACTAACCGCTTAGTAGGGAGAACAAGTTGCCATTAGGTACATGTTCGTAAATGATTAGCTTCTCGTCTTTGGAGGAGTTAAATGAAATGATCTCAACAAGGTTCTCGTGTTTTATCATTCCAAGCAAATCCGTCTGCTGGATGAATTCCTTTTTGCCCAAACCCTTCATTTCTTCAAGTCCCTTCACAGCAACATCAGAACCAGATTCTAGCATAGATTTTTAAGTAGTGCCTAGTTTTCCCTTTCCAATTACTTCAGCCGATGCACGCAGCAACTCATCCAGATCGAACATGGTGTGTTTATCCATGTCAAAAAATTCCAATTATACTCTCCTCTCTGGATCATCTGTGCCCTCGGAGCAGTGCCATTGCCTTCTTATAAGGTCTATAGAAGCCTCTTCTGTTTTGGAAATTAGAAGAGAAAAATTCACCTATTGCAATATTACATGACAAATTAATCTTTTTGTGTTTACATGTCATACCTGGCTGCTATTCTTTTGTTTCTTTTACGAAGATTCTTCTGTAATAGCAGAGAAAAATGAGGATGACAGATGGAGGAACAGTGTTGCTGCTGCTGCAACTAGACCTAGAGTCCATGGACGGAGGCCACTTCATGCAGAAGCGTTACGAAATTTTTATAATAAGAATTAAAAATCAGAATTATATTGGAATAATCTTGTTTTATATTGATATATGATTGATTGATTAAAAAGTGTACAATACCCCTATATTTATTGGCAAAATTATCCATAATTCTATTAATAAAAGGAAACTAAATTCTAAAAAGAAATAAACTAATCCTAATATAAACAAGATTTAAGAATAAACCAATTACAACTAGAAAAGCAAATTAGAAAAGATAATTTAAAAAAAAAAAGACAATTTAAAAAAAGGCAAATTCCTAGATAAAGTGAAACTATTAATTGTAGTTGTGATATACTACATCAATCCCTTCCACTTGAATAAAACTCGTCCTAGTGCAAGGAAAACTCATCTAGAGGAAAGTACTCGAAGATAGCAGCAACATTGAAAGTACTGGAAGGTCAACTTTGTAAGTATTATCACCAATCTTTTGAAGAATGTGAAAAGGACCAATTTTCTTATCTTTAAACTTATTGTGAGTGCCAACAGGAAAACGATTTTTGCGGAGATGGATCATTACCAATCACCTTCGTTAAACAGGTTAAGGCATCGATGTTGATCTGCAACAGTCTTGTAACGAATATTAGCATTTTCTAAATTTTGTTTTATTTCGTGATGAATTCTTTGAATACGTTCAGCAAACTCTTCTGCATTAGAATTGACATTCGGAAGTCGAATCAAATCTATCGTATGTCTTGGAACACTAGTGTAAATGACTTCAAATGGAGTCTTCTTGGTGGATCGATTAAGCATACTATTAAAAGCAAATTCAATCTGTAGAAGGGAAATATCCCACTGCTTTAGTTTATCTCCACTAACTGCTCAAATCATATTTTCAAGAGTTCGATTAGCCACCTATGTTTGTCCATCTGTTTGTGGATGATTCGCGCTACTGAACTTTAAAGAAATGTCAAATATTCTCCACAGTGTCCTCCAAAAGTGACTTAGAAACTCGACATCTCTATCAGAAGTTATAGAACGAGGAATGTTGTGTAGGCAAACGATCTCGCGGAAAAATAAATTAGCCACGTAAGAAGCATCTGCAGTTTTCTTACAAGGAAGGAAGTGAGCCATTTTCGAAAATCGATCAATTACAACCAAAACAGAACCAACTCCTCATTGAGTCCGTGGAAGACCGAGAACAAAATCCATAGTGAGATCTTGCCATATTATTTCTAAAACAGGCAATGAGGTATAAAGTCCAATATTTTGAGCTTGTCCCTTAGCTTTCTGACATATTGGACAACGCTGAACAAAACAACTAATGTCTCTTTTTAGTTGGGACCAATAAAATCTTTCTTCAACCAAGTTGATTGTCTTGTCCCGAACAACATGTCCTCCTAATCAACGTGCATGCAATTCTCAAATCAAGTACTCACGCAAAGAAGAACGAGGAATGCATAATTGTGTTCTTTTAAATAAGAATCCTTCCTAAAGTAGGTAATCGGGTATAAATTCTCTATTACTACATTGAGTCCATATATCGCCAAAAAAGACAGTTGCATAAAGTTCCTTTAAACAATCAAACCCAATTACTTCTGTACTAATTGTAGCTAAAAGAGATACTCGTTGACTTAAAGCGCCTGCTACTTTATTGTGTTGGCATGATTTATACTTTATAACAAAAGTAAATTTCTGTAAAAAGGTGATCCATCGAGGGTGCATTCGATTCATTATTTTTTGAGAATTGATAAACTTCAAAACTTGATGATCCGTAAATAACACAAATTCTCGTTGTATCAAGTAATGTTCCCAATGCTTTAATGCTCGAATAACAGCATAAAAATCTAACTCATAAGTAGTCCACTTTTGTCAAGACTCGCAAACCTTTTCACTGAAAAATTAGATTGGACGACCTTCTTGAGATAATACTGCTCCAATTCTCATAACTGAAGCATCACACTCAACTTCAAATACTTTTTCGAAGTTAGGTAGTGACAACACCGGTGTAGTGCATAACTTAGTTTTTATTGCCTCAAAACTATTTTCTTGCACTTTACCCCACTGAAATTGACCTGTTTTCAAGCAATCGGTAATAGGTGTCATGATTGTACTGAATCCTCGAATGAAACGTCTGTAAAAAGTTGATAGCCCATGAAAGCTTTTACTTCTCTCACGGTTTTAGGAGCTGGCCATTCGCGTATTGCTTTCACCTTTGCCTCATCAACCTGAATACCATCCTTTCCCACCATAAAGCCAAGAAATAAAAGCTGATCAGTCATAAATATACATTTTTTGAGATTGATATACAATTTATTATCTCGTAGGACGGAGAGAACTTCTTTAAGATGTGACAAGTGCTCATCTTCATTCTTGTTGTAAATAAGAATATTATCAAAATAAACCACCACAAATTTTCCTACAAAAGAACGAAGAACTTGGTTCATTAATCGCATGAATGTGTTTGGTGCGTTCGACAGCCCAAATGGCATTACTAACCACTCGCAGAGACCATCCTTGGTTTTGAAAGTTATTTTCCACTCGTCGCCAATTCGAATACGAATCTGACGATGGCCACTCCTTAAATCAAGTTTGGTGAATACCACTGCCCCTTGTAATCTGTCGATCATATCATTAAGACGCGGGATGGGAAAATGATACTTCATTGTTATTTTATTGATAGCACGGCTATCTATACACATTTGCCAACGGTTATCCTTCTTTGGAGTGAGTAAAGTGGGAACTGGACAATGACTCATACTCTCATGGATCAATCCTTTATCAAATAATTCATTAACCTGTCGCTGTAACTCTTCATGTTCAACTGGGCTTATTTGATAATGTGGTAAGTTCGACAAACTAGCCCCAGGTGCCAAATCAATATGATGTTGAATGTTTCGCATAGGGGGCAACTCGCTTGGTAACTCATCAGGTGCTATATCAGCAAAATCAGCAATTAACTTTTGAACTTTGGCAGGAATCTGTATAGTTGCTTCCAAGTGACCTTTAACTACTAATGCTAATATAGTGCTCGGCTCTTTTACTTATTCAAAGAATTCTGGGCCTGATATATTGGTAAAAGGTGATTTATCTTCCTTGATAGCAGAATTATTTTCCAAATGTTGTGATTGTGGTACTAAAACAATCTTCTTATTAAACCACCAAAATATGAAAGTGTTATCCTATAGAAATCTCGTATTAATTAGGGATAGTTTGTATATGGTATATAATTAGAGAATTAGGGAAATATCTTTCCTTTCCAAGATTAGCATATTATTTTCCTTTTCTTCCTCATTGTATTGTACTATATATAGTGGCATTGGTTTGTAAGATTGAATTAAGTGAATAAAGTTATTTCTTCATTATTTCCACATGGTAACAGAGCTTGGGTGAGGTCAAACCCGACTATGCCAGAAAACACCGCCTCCTCTGAAATCGGAACAAACGAGGCTGAAACTATCCCCACCATGAATTCAATTGGAATTGATAATTCCTCCTTTCAACTCACGGTAGAGAAGTTCAATGGTAGAAATTACAGAGAATGGGCTCAATCAATCAAGCTAGTAGTCGATGGAAAAGGAAAAATTAGGTACCTTACAGGCGAGGCCAAGCAGCCTACTAATCCGACACTTCAACAAAAATGGAATCTGAAAATTCCATGGTGATGTCGTGGCTAGTCAACTCAATGAAGCCATCAATTGGAAAAATTTACTTCTTCATGGCAACGCGAAGGACATATGGGACATTGTTCGAGAAATGTACTCTGACGCGGAAGATGCATCTCAAATTTTTGAAGTTAAAACCAAATTATGGAAGGCGAAGCAAGGAGAAAGGGATGTCACTGATTATTATATGGAGATGACTACTTTATGGCAGGAATTAGATCTTAGCATTGATGAACAATGGGATTGCCCTAGTGACAGTGTTCGGTACAAGAAGAGGGTGGAGAATGAACGAGGTTATTAATTCCTGGCTGGGTTAAACAGAGAACTCGACGACGTGAGAGGCCGAATTCTCACTCGTCGGCCCTTGCCGTCTACCCGTGATGTTTTTGCTGAGGTAAGGAGAGAAGAAAGTCGTCGGCTCGTCATGTTGAAGGAGTTGAATGGGCCTGATGAAATCTTGGATGGATCGACCCTCTTATCCAACTCTGGTGGGCCTAGTGGAGTTGGGCCTAAAGGTGGAGTACATGGGCCATATGAATTTGGGTCTAAAGGGGCTAGGTCATATGAATTTGGGCCTAAAGGGGCTGCTACAAAATTTTAAAAAATTAGTTATGATGGACCTAAATTTATTGGGCCTGATTTGGGAGCCCAAATGCTTAGAGGAACAAAACAAATTAGATCGAGCCCAAGACAACAAACGGGTCCTCCATGGTGTGACCACTGTCAGAAACTTGGACATAAAAAAGATACATGTTGGGATTTGCATGGAAAGCCACCCGACTAGAAACCAAGACAAAATGCTAGAAATCACGGCTACCAGGCTGCTGTCAATTCCTCTGAAATTCAAAGTTCCACTTCAAGCAGTACATTTAATCCTAAGCAACTAGAATAACTCTACAAACTACTTTCAAATTTTCAATCACCCAGCTCGTCAAGTTCCTTAGCCCACAGAGGTAATTTCCTGAGAG